CTATAACCAATTTTATAATTAGTTTTTATTTAATTTTATTTTAAATTATTTTTTAAAGAATTTTATATTTAAAGAAATATTTTTTAAATATTTTTTTTTCATTTTAAGAAAAAATATTTATGTTTAAAAATAAAAAATTTTATTTTTTATTTTCGAAAAAACAAAATTAAAATCTTTGTTTCTCTATTTTAAAAAATATATTTATTTTTAATTTTTTGAATTTTTCAGTATTTTTTATTTCCTGAAAAATTATTTTTCAAAAAACATTAATTTTTCTTTTCTATAAAAAAAATTAATTAGTTTGATTTTTATTTTGAATATATATATGTCCAAATTATGATTTAGTTAAAACTATCTTAATAACATATTCAAAATATAGATCTAGTTAAAAATCATACTAATAATTAATCAATTTAAGTTTGAATATAAATAATTTAAATAATCAGTTTATTTGAGCAACCTGATACACAAACTAATGGACCTAAAATGAATCATACTAGAAAGATTATAAACTTTGGGAATGAACATCACTAGGTGTCATTAATGAGTCAATATTTTGAGGATCATCAAAGCATACTTAATCACATACTAATCCACCAACCACCTCCCGGTTAGATTGAAATAAGATTGAATGCAAGTCATCTAGACCTGAAGCTCTTTTGTTGTTACCTGTGGATGAAGACAACTTTTCAAATGTTGATCTAAATAGGAAAACTCGCCCGTGACTTACCAAGGTTAAGCATTGCCATCTTCATAATATAACTTTTGAAAAAAATTTACTGCAATTCTTTTCAACATTTCTTTATCCCAAACCACCTTACCATCACTATCCGTAAGTGTCTAATATTCCCTCTATGCCTCCTAGTTTCTCTAGTTGGACTCCCATTGACAAACTTAACTTAGAAAGAAAGATAGTCATGTGTAGAATGTATGAATATGCTAACCTGAAATAAAGAAGAATCTCAAATCTATCCAAATTCTACTTTGTTTTAGGCCGGCCACATGCATGAGTCCAATTGTCACCCGATGTATATAAACTATCATTTGAGCTGTAAAAGATATGATTATATTTATAATTCATTCTATCCATTTTCTTCGAGTAGTAATTTTACAGGTCCACCCTGCTTAACTATATTAGAGTAGCTTGCACCACTGCATCAAGAATCCACATCAACAATTCTGTTTCTTGAACAAAACAATGGCATTTTCTATAAAAATCAACTTCTGATTCCTGCGAATTACCACATTCAGATCTTTCTTTATTCAATCAAATATGTCCATATTCAATCAGATTTTTCCTAATTTGATCAAATCTCTTCCAATTCAGATCTCAATCGCTTTGACAAGAATGCTAAGATGAAAGTAGCCTCAAATTTCATTCCTAAAGATTCTACAAAATCTTTCAAGTCAAGATCATCTTCAGTCTTCACCATAGACACGATCGGCAGAGAATCGTTCAAGCAGGAATAATCTCCACTGCAACAAGATTGTCAAGATCGATATCTTGCATAAGATCGAGAGGGAACAGTAAAATCGTAAAACATAAGATCGTAACTAAGATTGGAAGATCTTATCTAATTATTTTTGTAAGATCGGGAGGGGGTAGCAATATCATAAAACATAAGATCGTAACAAAAATCGTAAGATATTCCTAAAATGAAAAATTATACTATATATTAGAAGTTTTTTTACATGCTATTTTGATAGAGAAGTTATTAGTGGGAAAATGGCCTCGGACGAACTGTAATTGTTGCGCCTCGACATCTTTTCAACCTTCTCGGCTTATAATGGTGGTGATCGGAGAACGACAAGCGTGGCTGGAAAACAAAAGATCATGTTCAGAACTGGCCTAGATCGCACAAAATCAATGGTTTTACAACCTTTTTTTTGTTTTTACAATTTGACTACAACGCACGATTCTACTTAAAATCGAGATCGTTGGGGTGAATGAGATCGTAAAATCGTAAGATTTTAAGATCTAGATCGAGATCTTGACAACCATTCATTGCAAGGTTCTTTTGAATCAGCATCTCTAAGTGAGAAGCGAAAAGTTGTTTGGCTAATCCTAGAGTTCTAAGACCACGAAAAGGTGGATGAGACTTCGAATATGACACTTTCGTTAATCATTACCACTACCATCGCTAATCACTTTGTCTCACGAATTCTTATAGATAATGGAAGTTTCTCCAACCTGACATATTTCAAAATCTTCAACGAGTCGTGCTTAAGAAAACTCTTTGTACGGTAGAAAGAGTCTTCGTGCGGGAGAAGAAGAGGGTGTACCTGTAAGATTAGCACTTCAACGTCTAAGTCAATAAATTTTAAAAGATATAGCTTGTAAGAGTGAATGGATTGTACCTTGGTGTGACACTTGATCATACTTATATACGAGTGACAACTAAAACTATCCCTGGAGAATAAAGTGTGGAATGAGGGAGGATGTTGTATTGATTCCAACTACTGCGATGAGCGTGGTGCTAAGTTTCGGTGTGCAACCTCTTGGCACACAAAACTCTAGATTGAGCCTTCAAATTTTATCAGTCTTATTGGGCCATTTGATCGACTCGAAGTAGTTTCATATTACAAAATATATCATACATTTAAAATTTGGAGGTTGTTCGTTATACTAAGTATTTCTCCTAAAGTCTATAAATGTTAAAAAAATACCTTTGTCTGGTAGTTACCCCCTCACGCCCAGGACTGCACACCTAGAGCGTGGTGATAAATGATAGGTGGTCTGATAGCGGAAACTATAAAAGGTGGTCCAATGAATCTTAAACTAGGCTTTGATACCATGTCAAGAAATGTGTGGTTGAGTCTAACTCAATCCTACAAAACCGATTGATAGAGTAAAAATTGTTCTCACTTATAAACATATGTTCAGGTCATATATTGTTCGACGTGGAACTCTTAACATTAACTTATAACTATTTTCAGATAATATTACATGAAAAAAAATAAGAAAAAAAATCTACAAGAAATGTAAGAACTTTGGGTATTTCTGTCAAATTTACTGCGGAATTAAAATCTATAGTAAATAATTTAACATTTAAGAAAACCACAATAATTTTCTCGATTGTATATGCAGATTTTTCTACAAAAAATTCAGATGTCCAGAAGTTAACTTTCTAACGTACCCTTTCTACGAATATTATTACATACAAGAAAAACGACAAGTACATACGCAAGAAAAGTAAAATATTAATAATAACATATGAAATTTACTGGAATAAAAACTTTATTATGCATCCGGAAAATATTAATAGGATTTGTGAAAAACATAAAGGTGTATTGAGCCACCCCTAAATTTTTGAACTAAAAGAATTAATAGAAAAACAAAATTTTATTTGTTTTAGGGTCTATTTGGTTCAATCAAAGGGAGTGAAAGGGAGAGATTTTTATCAAAGGGAGGGGAGGGGAAGGGAGGAGATGAATTTTAATTACATATATATTTGATTCAAAATATGAAAGGGGAGGGGAGGGGAGGAATTTTAATTACATATATGTTTAGTTCAAAATATGAAAGGGAAGGGGAGGGAAGACATTTTATTTACAAATATGTTTGGTTCACAAGAAGAAGAGAGATAATTTAAAACTAATTTACTTTTTTATCCTTCTACTTTTATCACAAGACTTGTGATATTTACCGTTTATAATTCAAATACAAATTTATTGACGAAATATAAATATTCAGATCATCATGAAATACTTTATAAAATCGCAATGGTTATAATATATAATTGAGTAAATTACACTTTTTGTCCCCTTATTATTATAAACAAAAACATTACGATAACTAAAATTAACATAAAAATATGAAAAATAAATAAAAAATATAAACTGATATAATAATAGTAAGATGAAGATATAAAAATACAACAAATATAAAAAGAAAGATTAAATTTATTTAAAATAAAACTTTTAACATTGTTATAAGTTAAATTTATATTTAAATAAATAATAAGGGTAAATATGTAAATATAATTATAATTAAAATCAAACATTTTCCCTCCCCTCCAAATCGGGGGAAAGCAAAAAGTGGCTAAAGAGAGATTTTGGTCCCCTCCATCTACCTCCCCTCCCCCTCTTAAAATTTGAACCAAACACATAAATTATTAAATATTTTCTCCCCTCCCCTCCATTTACCCCCAACCAAACAGACTCTTGAGCGTAGATGGAATCTTTTTTGCGTGGAGATAGTAGATGAATTTGTTCATCGAGATCTTAACATTCTCTATCAACTTGACACTACGTGGTCCAATAAATTTTAAACGGGATTTTGATACCATCTTAAAATTATGTAAAATTATAGTTGAACTTGAAACAAACTTACAAAACAGTAAGGTGGAGATTACTCTCATTTATAAACATATATTTATATCACATATTGTTCGATGGGAGACTCCTAACATTTGTAAGATCGAAATCAACTCCCTCAAATGTTTTTTTCCTTGACCATATATATGATGAAAGGCAACAAATGGACAATCCTTTTGTCAAAGTATAAATGATAGGGTATTGTTTTCCTACAAGTTCTAATACATGGTAGTTTTACCTATGATATGATCAGTTGATCTTACTTGTTTTTCACTATCTCTCCGTCTAAAATTGATAGGGGGCAACTGCGCAGAAAATCTTTGGGACTCCCATTCTTTTGTAATCACAGATTTGAAATTGTTCATGATTGATAAATTCCTTCTGATAATCTTGAATTTTGAAAGGGTTATAAGGGCCTACGAGAAGACAGATAAAATTCTCAGAACAGCCACACCCAAAAAGTAAACTATGAAACCATCTTCCAAAAATGAATATATAGACCACCATGTCTATACCTGCAATTGTACATGAGCATACTCAGTTATTAAAATTAGATTCAGTCATGTACAGACATCACTGAATATTAAGGATTTGAATTATCAAACCAACTTGACACCAAAAATATGAACTATTACATTGTAGCATACCGTTTTGATCTTTTACATGAAACGGGAAAAATAACTTCAATGCGACATATCATCCAACTGCTGTCTGTAAAGTGCTAAGCTCTGCAGACACAAATGGCAACTTAGGGGAACAAATTAATAAAGACATAGTCTGACGTCGACTACCAGATTAGAAGAGATGATAATTCTGAAAAAGGACGAAAAAACTCCATTATATCCTCTCCAGTCAGAACCCGAAAAATTATCATAAGCTGGTATGTGGACTATAACCAAACACAAAAAGGGTATTGTTAAACCCCCAAAGGAAACAAATTATACGGTTTTTCAGTAGGCTATAATCGCTGACAAAAGTAAATAGATAGACATATTATGCACATCTCAAGTGCATGCAGGGAAAGTATGACAGCAAGTGAAAACATCATAAGATTTTGTATGACGGACTCGAAACATTTGAACCCTAAGTTGTGGTATAGTATAGTCTCTGATTTTCACTCTAAGAATTAGTGCACTTCTAAGCTAAGGGATGATACCTGAGTATATGCATAAACACCAGCTTCTGTAGGTCCCACAGGACTTCCTCTACTATTAAACTTCCCCTCTTTATATATGTAAAGTAATGGTATACCAGTTGACAATTCTAAACTAGTGACCTGTTTGTTAATAGAGAAAGAAGATAAGTAAAGATCAATCCTAGTTCAAAACAATACCATACATAAAAAATGATATGGTGGAAGTCAAAAGAAAAACAAGATGCTACCTGTTGTGAGGTCAGTCCATCCAGATACATTATAATAGACCTCAGTGAGTTCGCATGAGCAGCAACCATCACATGTTTTCCTGACTTCAGCTGCGGTTCAATCTACAATGCCTTCTTCTCAGTTAATCCGCAACAACAAATCAAATATAACAGTTTCGACATTGACAAATAAGAAAATTGACATCCTTACAAAATCCTTAAAATAGGCAACAGCTCTCCGTGAACACATTTCCAAGCTCTCCCCATTGGGAGGTGAAATATCATAACTTCGTCGCCACTCATATACTTGATCCTTCCCATATTTTTCTGCAGTCTCTTTCTTATTATGACCCTGTAACTCCCCGTACCTGTAGAAGTATAATAGAGAATTACATTCTATTCTATCCTTCTGAAACTCTTTGAAACATACTATGAACAAGAACAAAGGCATAGCCACGTACATTCTTTCATTCAACTGCCAAGTTGTTATAACTGGAATGGATTGCTTCGTGGTTTTTTCACTGTATACTCCACTCCACTTTGTTGCCTGTTCACTCTCATTATGTACGATAACAGGAACCTATAGAGTAAACAATTAGTAAAGAAGTATTGGTATACACATCAAAACAGTTGCGGAGATAATGATTTTACTTAAAAGCAAGCCACATGAGGCGATGGTTTAAATTATTGAATAATGAATATACATTGATTGAACATAAACCGAGTATTTTGGTCATAGAAAACACAGAATGTTTGTGTGTCCGCTTTACTTCGACTAGTGTAAGAAATCATGAACAAAATACAAAATTGTTGGGGTGATCCCACTTCTACTCCCTCACCGAGAGTAATCAGGACTCTAATACCACTTGTTCGCTCCCTCACTGAGGCTAACTATGACTCTGATACCACATGTTGGAGAGTTCAGGGAGCGCCAGAAGTGCCAGAAGTGGATGAATGTTTAGGATCCAAGAGACCTCGGGATCCCACTTCTGCTCCCTTTTCCGAGGGTAATTAGGACTCTGATACCACTTGTCCGCTCCCTCATCGAGGGTAACTAGGATTCTAATACCACTTATTGGGGAGTCCAGAGAGTGCCAGAAGTGTCAAAGGACTAAACGTTCAAGATCAAGAGACCTCGACACCACATATCCACCCAAAACTTTAAGGCGAAGTGGGATTTAATCACTCAACTTGAATCCCAACAAAAGTGAAATCACCAGACAACTAAAATCACCTTACTTTATTTTAGCTTATGACAAAGATTTATGGTTAACAAAACTGAATGTCATCTTAAATGGGCATAATCACTTTCTTGTAAGCATTTTCCACTATACCAATTGCAAGAGTCAAAAACATATGGGGCAACACTAACTGTCAAATTTAAACTAACAGAAAAATTCACTACTAATCATATGACAAAGCATTTTTTGACATAAAAAATCTTCTTTGAACAAGTAATTTACAATTTCATCACAAAAGGAACAAGTACCTTCTTTTCGATATGCTGAGTCATTGCAAGCATAGCTGTCATCTGCGCTCGGATTAGCCCAGATGTAAAAATTAGATCAATTGGTATATAGCTAATCCTCTTACCAGCTTCAATGGCTTCCTCAACTCCTCTCCTAGTTAATGGTACATCACAACATCCCGTGAACAAGTTCTTCTCATTCCACATAGACTCACCATGACGAATCAATATCAAAGTACTCTCAGCTACAAAAACATGTTTAGTGTTCACAACAGCACCAATAAGAATACACAAGAGAGTTTCAAAATAATAGTTCCTTACTTGATGAGTGATCAAGAACAGAAGCATGAGAAATTGATGCAAGAACAGGGTGCAATTTATGGTGGCTAGCATTTGAAATAAAGCGCATTGAGATTGATTTCCCAGATATTATAGAAGATCCAAAGGAAGGAACATCTTTGCCCCAGAAATGAAGACCCGCAGGTTTGGGAAAAAATGTAGCAGACATTGTCCTGATATATCGCAGAAAAAATGGCGAAAACTAAAATCGCTATTGTTCTTCTCGCAATATGAAGATAGAATTATTGAATTTAAAACACTGCGTTAAGGATCCTTAAGGGAAAAAGTGATAGAAGAAACTTACTGAGAATTGTGGAGTGTCGAAGTGCGTCAAAAGTGGCGTTGAAGGAGAAGAAGACAAGAAATTGTGGTACCTACCAACCACCTAGATTCGAAAATGATCCCAAACAGAAGGCTGAGCGTGCGACTACCTTGTTTTTGTGTGAGATGTCTTTACGACGCAGTTTTGAGGACTTCAAAAAAATGCAAAACAGTGATGCTAAAGTGAGAGAGTGAGCAAGTACAGAAGTGAGTTTATAATACTTGACCCTTCTCTAGAAGATGGTATTTATAATGAGCCTTCAACGCTGGGCCAACGGTTATCCGCATTGAGTTGAATTTTAAAGCCCAACGTGGATAACTACCAGGATCTACGTGGTGTAGGAAAAATCAGCATGTGGTCTTCGTCTTGAGTCAACTGCCTCGTGGACTTCGGGAGGTGGAAGACCTATTCTCGAGGGTGAAACAGACGCCCGAAAGTCATGGGTAGTTGGATGATGACGTGTTTCCGCGTGGGGAGCACGTGGATAGCGTGGGAAAGACGCGTGGGGAGCGTTTCCCGTAAGGGATGATGGATTGGGCCTTTGTTGAGCCCTCGCCGACGAGGAGCTGGGTTGGGTCGCCCGACGATGGGCCAGCTCCTGATCCAGTCTAAAACAGGATCCCCCAAGTCGTTGCTCCTAAGCATAGAAGTAATAACTTAAGATTCGATTCTTATGTCGAAGAAGGGCACATGGAACTTGCCCGGAGGAGCGTCGCTCGTGTCGCTACTCGAAAAAATGAAGCGACGGAGAGGCGAGAAAGAAAGAGAAAAGAGTCGCCATCGAACTTTATTTATCTCATGAGAGGAAAGGAAAACATCGAGAAAACGTCTAAGGAAGAAACAGATAAGATGGTCTTGCAACCAAGAACGGATTCGGAAGCCGATTATGCGAAGGGAAGGTATTAGCACCCCTCGCATCCATCGTACTCGATGGGAACCATTTGTTTGTCATATGTGTGAAGATATTTGCTAAAAAATATTGCTATATAAGTGTTCCAAGGGATAAAGAGAAAGGTTAGAAACATGGAAATGAAAGATAAAGGGGAAGAAAGGACTCGGTAGGACTTCGCGGTCCTAGGCCTACGTATTCTCAACATATGTGAAAGTTAGAGTCAACGTAGTTCGAGAAACTACGGGTGATGGGGGGGAAGGTTGCTTGCCAAGACATCGCCGCCTTGTGCCTACATATCCTCATCTGGTATGAGAAAACAGAGCAGACGTAGTTCGGGTAACTAAGGGAGAAGGTCTCGATCGCACTGGGGCGAGAGAATAGGTTCGAATAACAGGTATGTCTCGATTGCACAGGGGCAAGAGAAAAAGGGAAGTTAGTTTTTAGCGTGCTCGTCAAGGATAGATATCCTCGTGCCTATGTATCCTCATTAGGGAATGAAGAATCAGAGCAGTCGTAGTTCGGCCTGCGGTTAACTGATATTTTTGTGGAAGATGCTAACGTACGTATTCTAGCAGTTAGGTGTATTGCAGCTTACTCGTGGAGTCTTAGGCGTTACTTGTTTGCGATAGAACGGACGTAACATATTCTTTTTTAAAAGATTAACTTTTGCCTGTCGAGGCAAGATGTCACGTTTGATTTGTGAGGTTATTTTTATGAGTGAAATAGGTCCTCGGATAGTAACCCCTTGCGGATAGTACCCAATTCTTTATCTCAAAGATTTACTGTAAAAAGGTGTGGCGAACATAGTCACGTCTTCGTATTGAAAGACTAGTATCAAGACCACACACTCTATAGTGAGTATCCTGACACTCAGAGAGAAAGAAGTCTGCACTTAATCCTCTCTCTTTAGTTCAATACAAAGTGGACTTCATTCTTTTATTAAAGATGTTTTTGATATTGGATGGTAAGTGCTTTACGACAGTGAACCCTAAAGGTAATGTCAAGCACTCGGGATAGGAGAAGGCCTACGCCTAACCACTCCACAACCATCCAAGTTTATTTGGAAAAGAGTTTTTGAAAATGCACTTGGTACGAGACCAAGATTTTAAGAGAAAAGTTATGAAAAGAAAGGATGGTGAATTGGTTTAACAGTTGTTTGAGAAAATCCGCTTGACGTTGGATCAAGGGTTTGATTGCTTAAAAAAAGTTTGAGGTGATGTGAACAAGGTTAATGGCGATGCACAAGTCAATAGACTTACAAGGTCAAAAATGGCTCGATAAGAATCGAGAGTTTGTTTTGAAAATAGTTTTTGGAACCAAAAGTAAAAAATGACCATAATAATATCCACACACAATGGTCATACAACCACATCGGGTTAATCGACTTGAAAATACGAAGAAGAAAAAAACAAGACATGAAAAAAAAACGGCGAACTTCTTGAAAAAAATTTTGGAAGCTACAAAACAGCATGAAATGAGACGTCCCATTTCACGTGTGAATGGAATATGTCGAAAAAAATGGGAGAAATGGCAAAAAAAGTGAAGAAAAAAACAGGGGGCCCGTGTCAGGAAGTGCCCATAACATTGATTTTGGAGGTAAGAAAGGGAGTTGACACGGCCACCCGTGTCAGCGCACCTGGGAGGTGCGCGCGATGGAAGTTAAAATAGCAGGCTGACACGGCCGCCCGTGTCAGTCCTGTTGGGTGAAAAATCTAAACTATGCTCTTTTTTATTTTCCTTGTGGTTCTTACAAAAGTTCTTGGTCCCTCTTGGGACCTTACACAATGTATACAACACAAAAATCACTTAAAAGAGAAAATAAAAGACAATGCAAAATATGTAAAGAGAGAAGAGTTTGAAAGAAAAAATACCCAAGAGTTTCTATTCTCCTTGAAATCACCAATGGCTTTTATTGGATGTGCTTTATGATTCACTTCCTTTTCTTTTTTTTTTCATCACTTTCTTGTTCTCTCAATGGTTTATTTTCTTTCTCAATCTCTTTTCTTAATTATGTGCTAAATGTTTCTTCCTCTCTCAATCTCCTTTTTTGGTTTTTTATAGTTCTCTTGTGTTTTTCTAACTCTCTTGATTTTTCTGGTTTTTTCTCCCCTATCTCTTGCTTTCTATCCTCCTCTTTGTTTGTTGTTGCTCCCTCCCTTTTCAAGCTCAACACATTAGGGTTTTCACTTATTTCAAAACTTCAGATTTTTCATTGAGAAATGCCTCTTACCACTTTCTTGATACCACTCTCAATTCTTTCCATTTTCATTTGTGCCTTGCTGTATTTTTGCTGCTACACTCTTGCTGGATTTTGTCTTATTAAAGTGGTCCCAAGTATGCTTGCTATCAAATTTTTAATTTGAATATGTGCTGATTTTGCGATGCATCAAATACATCCCTTTTGAATTTTGAGGTGGTAACATGAGTGTGACAATTTTGTTGTGTTCCTTTTTTTTGCTCACATTGGATCATGAATTGGTTACTTAGGTTTTGTGACATGATTTGTTTGGTTATGAGTTATTTCTAGCTTGAGATATGAAATAAGGCATGTATGGGGATGTTTTGGACTAACTTGAAAATGTCTTGAAATGTTCTTGATGGAGCATGAAGGGTACCATAACATGAAGTAGCTTAAGACACAAATGGTCTTGATTTTGAAATGTTCCAATATTAAGTTGAATCTTAATTATTTTCCTTGGATGTTTGTTGGCATAATGAGGAATATGTGGACTTGATGGGGCATGAAGGGTACCATAACATGAAGTTGATTAGAAACTTGAATTAAGATTAGAAATAGCTTAACTTTCTAAGGATTGCTTAGAGTTGGAAACTTTGTAACATTCTTGCCATGTCATGAAATTTCCTTTCGTAATATTCTTGAATCTAATCTTGAATTCATGAATCTTGAATTTGGAATGATGGATCTCCCTTATGCCATTGAATTTGAAATGGATGAAGTCTTGACTTATGAACTTGTGATCTTCAATTGATGACTGTCCACAAACTCAATTTTGAATGAGAAAACCCCGATCTTCCTTGAACGTACATTCTTGCCTCAACTTGAGTGAAATAACCCACTGAAACCCCTCTGAAAAGAGAACCAATATCACAAGAAAGTTTTGATCCTATGTCTTAGGAAGCCGATGCAGAACATGATTATGAGTTATGAACTAAATAAGATGTAGATGAAGGTGAAACAAAAGCCAATTAAAGTTATAAAAAAGCGAGGGCAAATTTTGGGGTGCTACAGCTCGTGCTCGAGATGAAGAGTTTGTGGGGCTATGCGCATGACTAAACACAAAAGTTACTAGTCGTGCTCAACAGCGGGGTTTGCCTGTGATCGACGACATGGTCCAATCAGACGTTTATCCCGCGGACAGGTGCTCGCGTGGGGTTTACCTGTCCCACGTGTTCATGGCTTGTTTCCAAGTCTCCCCAAGGAAATGTATGCGACAGCGCGAGGGTCGAGCATCGTGCTCGACATATTGAGCGATGTGACGGAAGTGAAAGGAGCAAACACATAATTTTCTCGGGGCCGTGCGAGAGGGCTTTAAAGGGACATGTGTGATGTCACCTTGAGCTACGTCTCAAGAGTAATAAATGCATATGACGGCTAGGAGTAGGGGTGCTTGAGAGCCTATGTAACGTTTCTCTTCCCGTGCCCGAGGATATAAATAAGGGGAGACTGGTTCATTTGCATGCTCACAACATTTAAGCACACAAGAATTCCTCAAGTCTCTTAGGGTTTCTCTGCTCTCCTACCATTCGTACGCTGCTGTTATCGCCTCTATCCCTTTCTTCCATCATTGTAATCTCTAGAATCTTATTCATACAAGTAAGTTTTATGTCTTTTTTCTAGTTAGCATGGTAGTTACGCTCTTTCTGGTGTTGTTATGAACTTTCTGGCGAACTTCCTGAGTCTTCGATGAATTTTTCGGTGAATGCTTCGGGGAGT